GCGTCGGCACCCGCGGGGCGGGCGGTGGCGGACCCACCGGGGTCTCCCCCGCCACAGCGCCCTTTGCACAACTTCTCGCTCTCCGGCCCCGGCAGCGCCAGGCCGGTCACCGCGCTCTCATGAATATTTATACAGAGCGCTGCCAAGCCCCGCCCCCTGCGCCCCAGCCACCTATCACGCGGGCTCCGGGGGGGGTGCAGGGGAGCCGGCCCGCAACCTCCCTTAAGGTGGAACCGACCCAGGCTGTGCCCTCAGCACCTTTTCCAAAAGTCGATGGGCTCGTTATCCCGCATGATTTCCCAAGGCCGAAGTCTGTTCCTTTAAGGTGCAGTTATTCGCTGTGCATGTTTCCTGACAGGCACTCAGGGATGAGACTTGCTTAGGCAAGGAAGAGGAGAATCCTTTCTAGTTTAGGGGCATTTCGTTTCCTTTTCGTGGGATGGTTTCAGGGGTCGCTGGCTACAGTTTTGCGTAAGAATAAGTTTTCATCTGTGTTTTAAAATCCTCCTGTTATCCTCGCGCCAGTGTTCCTGAGAACAGCCTCATTATCCGTTCCTCCCTTTGCCTTCATTTGTATACGCTACAAACTGTTAGGGCCAAATTCCAACCAGATCGGAGCTTGCTAGGGTAGACAAGAATACTGATGTCAAAAAACGCCAAGGATAGGTTTCGACTCCTGCTCTCACATATTTTGTTTGAGTTTTAAATTCAGCGCTTCTCTAAAACCCAATCCGTACAGTTGAGGCTTCCACATACAATGCATCTGTCCAAAAAAGGTGCAAGCCGTTTAAGATGTCAGTTACCACCAAGCATGTGTACCAGATAAAGCATAAGTCAAAAAAATGTTAGTCCCTAAGATAGTCAGTCATAAAAATGCCCTCAGCAGACAGGGCAATTAATTAAGTTGATATATTTATATGGAATTTGAATGAGTCCAGTAAACTGACAGCTGGTTAAATTTTGTGTGTCATTTCAGAGTGGCTGTACTTCCTCACCCTGAGCTGCTTAAAATAGATACTGTTTACACTTACTGGCAGGATCATATCGCCCTGCAATGAAAGTTTCACGGCGCTTGGATTTACCGCAGTAGATTGTAAATAAGTTTAAAGTTTACCTAAGTCTTTCTTGAAGAGAGCAAATTTACGGTGTTGTTGCAAAACTTTTCTCAACATCACAGATAAGAGTTGGGGTAGCTAATGGAGCACGCTCCAGAATGGACTGCTGCACGCATCTTTGAACTCCTAAAGAATAACTAAATCAACCATTTTGAAAGAATAATATGTAGGCCTTGGGGGGACCCAGCCTATAAAGCTCGACATGGTCTTTGTCATTATGAGTACTTGGAGATCAAAGAACATCGGTAGTTTATGTACATGGATGTTTGTGCTCTAGGTCTTTAGAGGCCAGATCTTGGCTTCAACTGTAAAATCGAAGTCGAGTTCAATGATGGGGGATAGTAACATTAGTAAGGATTTCTGTTTAATAACTGGGGGCACGTCACCTTCCATGTTTCAAGTTTGACTTATAAACCCTGTTCATCTGATTGTTTGACATGGTGGTTGGCTGGTTTCTGCAAAGTCTCCTACTGGATAAGTATTTAGGCTGGTTTTACTTACATCTGAACAGCTGATTTTTGAGGGAGGGAGCGGGGGCATTGAAAAGATTTTTCAGAATATTATTGATAATATAGGGCCTTCTTTTTCCCCGATTTTTACTCAGAACAGTTGACATCTGGGGGGCGATAAAACCTGCTATAGGTTTGTCACTTGTACTGCTACGCACATTTTAAACAATTATTCCTTCCAGCGATTCTCAGCAAAGATCCGACCACAGTTACTTGGATGAGCCTAAAATGATGCCTAGTTGAGTAAAAAAGAATGAAGAAGAGAGATTTTTAATGGCTCGATGAAACACCCGGAAATATCCTTCCCTAAACGAGAAAAGATTTTTAAAAACCCCTGAAAATTAATCCCAAACCACAATATCGCTCTCAGAAAGGCAGATGATGTCAAATAAACCTGATTTTAATAGTCGATTGGTCAACTCTCTCCAACAGGTCCCGAATAGGAAACTATGTTGGTTATTTCTATCTCTTTTTTAACTCTGATAGTTTCATGGGTTCTGAACTATCCGCTCGCTTTCAAGTTCCACTTCTAGCATGTAGGTATAACGAGACTGCAGTGGGGATTTTGGCTTCTTTATCTGCAACTTCAATTAACCCTCCCCCCTTACTTTCCAAACCACCTTAAACTAGAGAGGATGGGGAGGAGGCGGAGAGGCCGGCAGCCTGGCAGGTTCATTCACGCTTGTTAGGACATCCCAGGGGGTTGTCTTACTCCTAGAATTGAGTGTTTATTTTTTAATTGATGTGCTGTTTCATTTAGCGCTTGTATGGAGCTCACGCTGGGGCTGTAATTACTGTAATCGCAGGAACAAGCGTTTCAGTGAGCCAGGAGGGTGGCAATACGGTGGGATTTATTGGGGGGGTGGATTTTTGTGACTTGTCAGAGGTCAAACCAGAGAAGTCTAGTGGTAGGAAATAAAGTTGGTGGGGGAGGAATGTAAATCTTCATCAGAAGCTGGCAGTCACGCTGTTAAATGAGTATTAAACACGTGGCACAAAACCAGAGCAAGAAGTTGGTATGCTGCTTCTGCCAACAGACTCCTCCTCTCCCTTCCTTTTTAATGTAAATGAATACAAATAGATAATCTAGGTAGAAGGAAATGGGTAGTAATGAGGCAATAAACAAGTTTCCTATGTAATCATTTCGGTAACTTGCCAAACCAGCTCAAATTCTCCGTCCTTTGCCCTCTTCTCCCTCCCCCCATCAGGGGAAACCTGGAAATTACAAGGAAAACATCGCAGACGCGCATTTAAATACCATGTGTTACCATTCTGTGTTAGAATGATTTCAGGTCACAAAACTAATCTTACAGAATGTTAGGAATCATTAAAAAAGGGATGGAGAATAAGACAGAGAGCCTGTATATAAAACCATGCTACACCTACATTTTGAATACTGTATACAGATGTGGTCGCTTCATCTCAAAAAGATATATTTGCATTGGAAAAGGTTCAGAAAAGGGCAACAAGAATGATTGGGAGTTTGGAAGGGTGCTATATGAAGAGAGATTAAAAAGACTTGGACTTTTCAGCTTACAAAAGAGGAGACCGGGGATATGATAGCAGTCTGTAACATGACTGGTAGGGAAAAAATGAACAAGGAAAAGTTATTTACTTGTTCCCATAAGATAAGAACTAGAGGTCACCAAATGAAATTAATAGGCAACAGGTTTAAAACAAACAAAAGGAAGTGTTTCTTCACTCAGATAGTCAACCTATAGAACTTCTTGCCAGAGGATGTGGTGAAAACTAGGATTTTAACAGGGTTCAAAAAAGAGGTAGATAAATTCATGAAGGTTTGGTCCATCAATGGCTATTACCCAGGATGGGTAGGAATGGTGTTCCTAGCCTCTGTTTGTCTGGGAATGGATATAGTAGAGGGATCATGTGATGATTATCTGTTATGTTCCCTCCTTCCGGGGCATCTGGCATTGGCTACTGTCGGCAGGCAGGATACTGGGCTAAATGGACCTTTGGTCTGACTCAGTATGGCTGTTCTTATGTACTGCTAAGGAGTCTGAAATCTCCTCTTTCAGAAATATTGATAATTTTAAGGAAAATTGTATGGGCCCGATAATGTTAAGCTACAAGGAAAGGAACTCTGAAAACTTGGCAAGTTTTTTTATAATTTAATCGCTGTAATCATTAAGAAAACCTCTTCAATGTCACTTATTAGAACTGTATCTGATGACCGTATTTGCTTTGTTTCCTACTCCAAAAAGTATCTCAATTAAAACTTTTTCTACCAAGTGTAAAAAAACCCCAGTCCTAGGATCTGGTATGAATCTGTGAATTGCCACTCTGACAGGAACACTACTGGCTGTTTATAAAGTACCTTTTATGCACCCTGCCTGCTTAGACACTGCACTACTGAGACAACAGATGTGAAGTGACTGTTTCCAAAAGCAACAGATGCTGTAAAGTTTCCACTGCTATATTTCAGCCTGGAAACTCAGGAGAGGTGTTGAATGCCTCTAGAAATAGAGGAAAATCACTAAGTTTCTCAGTTGTATATGGATTAAGTTTTACTGTCACCCACTGTTATGTTTCCTGCTTTTTTTAATATTTTGTGGGAGGAGATGTAATCCCACTATAAAAGTCGGAAACCAATCAATAACAGAATTCTGTATTAATGAAGTTTTCTAAGTAAAGCAAGCATAAATTTGAAAGTCATAGAATAAGCTTGTAGAACTTTATACATTCTGAACTTGATCATTCATTTGGCTTATTAATAAAAGATGTGTCTAAAGCCCCTAATGTCAGTTTTGACTACTACAGCTACTATCTCATTGTAAGAATTAAGAAGAAATAACAGTAGGTGAGGATACTATTGGAGTATCCTGATTCCTGAAGAGAGATTTGGATTGATAAAATGCAATGAAAATAGGTGATACCTACATTTCTTGTGTTCCTAAACCTTCCC